CAGAGGTGTTCGATTGGGTTGAGATCTGGAGATCTCGACGGCCAGGGATAGCCGTTGATTTTGGCATTATGGAGGTAATATACCGTGACACGAGCTATGTGCGGTGGATCGTTGTCCTGTTGAAACAGCTTCCTCTGGCGGTTAATAATTGGTAGAGGGTGATCACGAGGTTGAAGAATTTGATTCATGTAGCGATTTGCTGTCAAATTCCACTGAACCACAACCAAGTCAGATCTCGTGGTGTAGGATATGGCCCCTCACACCATGACACTGCCGCCACCGAAATTGTCGAATTCACGAACATAACGTGGGGCAAAACGCTCATTTCGACGACGATAAACACGTTGGCTTCCATCTCGCCGGTGAAAAGGAAATCGTGATTCATCGCTAAACCACACTCGTCTCCAGTTTCTCAAATTCCAAGGCTGTAAGGTATGGCGCCGGCGCAAGCGTCGCTGTCGATGGATCTGTTGCAAAACAGGGACGATAACTGGTCTCTGGGTCGGAATCCAGCCTCGCTAAAATGGTTCCTGACAGTCTGGTCCGATATCCTCCTCAAACTAGGGATGTGTCCTGTAGTCTCCGTAGCTGTGGCATTGCGATGACGTAGGTGGAACAGTCGAATGTAGCGATCCTGTGCAGGGGTGGTAACTCTTGGTCGGCCGGTTCTCGGACGGTGTGCACTTAAATTGAACTGTGTGTATTGGTCACAAAGGCGACAAAAGGTGCTGTGGTGGACGTTGAAGTGGCGTGCAACAGTAGACTGCGATTCCCCTCTTTGGATACGTCCTATGGCGATGTTCCGATCGGCAGCGCTGAGTCTCGGCATTTTCGAACTTGACAATTGAATGACAAATTATTTGCTTATGCTTGCCTTTTTATAGGTTACGAATGCCATAAATTGCACGTGCGTTTTGCTTTACTGTATTCCCCCATGACATTTTTAACAAGTGTGAAAATAATGCAGTTTAAGACATTGCAAATCGACAATACGCACCGTTTGTCGAATATCAGTCCATCAACAACTCGATATGGATCGAACTATCGATATGCGCGATAGTGAAGTCCTATTTTGCACAGGAAAGTGGGCTTGATGTGGCAATGGTGGAAACAAAACTTTGTTCTTGTACCGGGCAGATACATTCATGGTGGGACCAGGAACAAGAGGAGCTAGAAAACAAAAAATACAGAGCTCTTAGAGGGCACAGAGATTTTATAAAGGATATCAGTGATTTTAGAATGTTTCGGAATCTGTTTAACAGTACCTTTAGAATTAAAAAGGAACATCCTTTCGGTGCACAGAAAAATAAATTAGTAGCAGCTGGTAAAAACTCTATTTCTGGAGAATAAGTCCACAGTGTAATATGTCGGGAGGGTGGAATACTTCATGTTGAGGGGGCACGGGTGGCCCAGTCGTCCAAGGCGCCGCGATTCGCTTTGCAGAGTTGCGTCCCCTGGACAAGCCAGAAACCTACGATTGTGGGTTCGAATCCCGGTTTGCCCCGATTATGTTTCTAGGTTTGTCAGCACCACACCCGTGCTCGTGGGTTTCACCGAAGTGGTAAACGTCTGAGACCTGCATCCCTTCGGGCTTTCCTCCCACTTTAAGCTGACACGCCGTGATATATCTGGAATACTGTTAAAAGCGGCGTTAAACTCACTCACTCACTCACTCACTTCATGTTGAACCACTCAAAGTATTTTCCCCTCATCTTGATGATGATTTGCTTCCTTCAACAGAAAGACCCACTGGATCACTTAATCAACCAATCACTGATCAAGACGTTTTATTTAATATACCCAATGGATGGTGCAAATAATCACAAGGACCAGATGGTGAGGCTGGTGAATGTTTTAAAGCTTCAATGCATCTTACTGTGCCTTATCCTACTCATGTTTGTAATCACATTTTTGATAGTGGAAGATTCCGTCTGCTTAGGCGAAGGGTATTATATGTCCTCTCTTCAAGCCTGGCTGTAAAAATGACTTGAACAACTATTGAGGTAATTCTCTCATAGACTCAACTTGTAAAGTATTTACGTCTATTTTGAACCGCCGTCTAAAGAATTGGTGTGAGAATCATGATATTATTAATGAACAAGCTGGTTTTAGAGTTCATTACCCTACTATTGACAATAGTTTTTCATTACAGGCAACAGTTAAAAAATACATTGGTCAGAAAAGAGGCAGATTTTACTGCCTCTTCATTGACTTTTCCAAGGCTTTTGACATTCTAAGACATGAGTGAGTGAGTATGGTTTTACCCCGCTTTTAGCAATATTCCAGCAATATCACGGCGGGGGTCATGATGAAATGGGCTCACACATTGTACCCATGTCGGGAATCGAACCCGGGTCGTTGGCGTGACGAGCGAACGCTTTAACCACTAAGCTACCTGACCGCCCCTCTAAGACATGATGTTCTGCACTTGTGTGAAGTTGGTAAATAAACCGAAGATTATTGTGTTAAAAATTAGTGGTCCCTAAAGGTCATATGACAAGTGGTCTTATGATGGCTCCTATAGAGAGAGTGTCTGTCTTTATATTAATACCCGCCACTTCACCCCGGAGCAAAGCTCAGACCTGCCCCAGGCAAATAAGGCAATACTTTCAGTTAATAATTACCGAAAGAAACTTGATAACATCAGTTGTCCAGATCTTAAGATAGTTGAATGTGTGATAACACCTATTCTACATTTGTCCTGAAATATGGGGCACCATATATTGTAACACTATTGAATCGGTACATATTATTTTTTTTCAAATCTACAAGAAAATCAACTTGTTCATATATGGTTCAAGGGGAATGTGGAAGAGTGACTTCGCAGTTTGTATATATGACAAAGGCAATTAAATATTGGTCCAGATTATTTAGCATTTAGCAAACAATATGCCACCAGACAAATATATATTATGTTAAAATCTGTGGATCATGTAGGCCGCAATACATGAATGGGTATACTTGTCGTAAGAGGCGACTAACGGGAACGGGTTTTTGCATGTCATCGTATCCCAGTTGCGAGGGTCGATGCTCATGATGTCAATCACTGGATTGTGTGGTCAAGACTCGATTATTTACGGACCGCCGTCATATAGCCGGAATATTGCTACGTGCGGCGTTAAACAACAAACAAACAAACAAACGTAGGCCTGAGAGCTTATACTGAACTATATGATTTATAGATTGGTTCCGCAAACCGGTACCCGCTGGGGCTAAATGAGTTGACAAAGTCTGTGCCTGCGTAGTGTATATTGCCAAAAAAGGATGACATATTCTGTCAATACGGACACTGTTTATAAAGAATAGGTAAATGTCTTTTTAAATATATGGACAGGTTTTTAATAACACACTCATTTCTGGTCGATAGAAGACTGATACATTTTGTGACAGATGGTTGTACATGGTAACATTTTGGAATAAAAACGACAAATTAACAAAAAATGGTATTCATTTTCTATTTCATAGCGATTACGCTACATACATAAACTAGACGATGACTCTGTAGTATTAAATCGAGTTTTCTGTACATTTAGATAATGGCTTAAACAACGGAATGTACATAAAGCTCTAAGAAGATCTCTTTCACATGCTAAAGCAGACAGATATTTTTCTGGTTGGAGTTGTGATTTATAAGATGTATAAACATTAAGGAAAGAAGAATTAGTGATTTTGTAATGCCAGTTTTGGAATTCCATATCTTTACATCGTTGTTTCAATATAACCATGAAGCATTTCATATCGCCGCAATCCTGAGACGACCACACATATGAAAAATCAGTTTAACACAATAATTGTCTTATATCAGAAACCCAGTTAGATTGACCATTTTCGTAAAATGCTTTTAACATATGGTAACAGGCAGACGGATACTAGTATCTTGTTTCATGTAATCGACACCAGTAGTGTTTATACAGACACAGAAGTCAATCGATGTCAATCGACAAATGTAATATTTGGGATAACACTTTATTAGTAAATTACAGCTTCTGGTACGTTATGGGGTTGAGTCCCATCCGGGATTCGAACCCACACTGCCAGAGTGAGGCACCTAATCGCCAGCACACAAAGTCAGCGATCTGACCCACTCAACCACCGAGGCTTCCACCACATGAAAGTCTGACAACTAGTAGTCCTAGTAGTATAGATCACGTTCTTTGTGTACCCCTCAGACAAGCGTAAATTGGCACGGATCCAATGGCCGAAAGCTATGAATACACAATGCCATTTTGAAAGTGGTCAAATGTAACAAATGTTTAAATCCAAAATGGCATTGTGTAGCCACACGTTCGTATTGACCATGAGCTGAGATACACCAGCAGCTGACTTGCCTTGGTGTTTAGTTACACACTAACAGGTATTGAAACCATGCAGTGAACAATTTTATAACTGAATGTAGTTTGTTTGTTGTTTTACGCTGCACTCGTGAATGTTACAGCTATATTCGAGTATTAGCAAAGACACATCAGTGATTAGGAATTACGTGGTCGTAATACGATGAACGCAATCATCAAGTCACTGAGCCTATTTTCCAATTCATTTGGTTGCCTGTACACGCTAAGCTTGCATGGGGCGCTTTGTATCCACGTATCCCCATGTGATGAATGAATTGTGTTACTGGCCCCTAGTATGTACGCCAGATGTCTATCTAACGGGTTTCTGATGTGACATACGGAAAACGTGACACCTGTCCGATCTGTGAATTGATAGGTCGAGTACGTTCTTCTTAAAAATTATTTATATTTATCAGACACTACATAATTGTCTTAAAGCTCACGTCCCCCCGAACTCTTACAAAACGTCTTCTGGTTTCACAAATCCAAAGTAAAAACACAGTCTGTTTGGCTTTGATGTTTGCCCTGATCAATCCGATCGATAACTTGGTTTATGAGATGTCAGAGCAATATCCCAGCTGTATGACGACAGCTTGTAATTAATCAGGTCTTTGTGGGACAAACCAGTGATATGAGTAGGGTCCATTGCCGTTTGGGTTCATGCCACGAAGCAACCAGGTCGCCCTGCTACAAATCCCGACCTATTAACTCGTCATTTCTCCCTGCTTTGGAACGTCAGCGAATGGTATGTAAATGATGCTTCCAATAACCATGTCATCCTAGACCGAAAACTGGACAACAACGGCATCGCGGAAACGCACCTCAAGAATAAGAAGGTGAAGCGTTCTTGGTGTGGAAGGAGCACAATAGTACTTCTCTACACCGCCGGGGGAAATGTTGCTCCGGCGAGGTTGGCTTTTGATCAATGAAAATCTTTTAGAAAAAATGAAGTAATTGAGCTAGATCAGATTTATGAAGGCATATTGTGGATAACGCTCAAAGATTCAACGAGAGCGGAACAACATAACTTTGGTATGTGCGACTTTCCCCCAGATTCTAGCAGGTGAGTAGATGTATATGGATTATTAGACAGTATATCATCCAACGGTTATGAATTCGGTGGTATGACTTTGTGTGGTGATTTCAAGAGTAGATGAAGTGATATATCGGATTATATTGAAGGTGTTGACCTCATCCAATAAGAGGAGGGGGCATGGGTGGCCCAGTCGTCAAAGGCGCCACGATTCGCTGTGCAGGGTTGCGCCCCATGGCCACTACAGAAACCTATGATTGTGGGTTCGAATCCCGGTACGCCCCGATTATGTTTGTATGTTTGTCAGCACCATACCCGTGCTTGTGGTGCACACGACGAATTGCACTGTTATTCACAGTTTTAGGTTGAGCGTGCATGTGAGTCGGGTGTAGCGGGTAAGGGTATTGAACCACGCGTTGCACCTGACCATTCTCGTTTATCCTGGGTATTCACGCTGAAACGCACTTCAAATAGTGAGGGATTATGGTTTAATGCCGCTTTTAGCAATATTATAGCAATATCACGGCGGGCAATATCACGACATCAACTAAGCCTTCTTATTCTGGACGGGAAGGTCGCTATGACGTATCCCGAGGACTTGGCTACAACTCTTCTGAAGAAAATAACCTTTATTTACAATTGCATTTCAAATTTATGTGCTCATGAGCAAAGAGTGTGAAAATCAAATTCACGGTTATTCCCATAACGCTTAAGCAACGTGTCAGTATTATACATTATAGCATGTATCTTAATCGTGACAACCCTATATGTGAATGGCAGGTGCTATTGGTAGTGTTTCAGAAAGGGTTATTCTACCAGTGATCACATCTTTGCTCTATATAACCTCATGGAATTATTAAAAGCTAGGAAAAAGAAATTATTTTGTGCTTTTGTAGATTTCCAGAAAGCATTTGACACAGTTTGGCGATCAGGACTTTGGCAAAAACATTACAAAATAACATATCTGGAAACTGTTTTAGCGTTATTTATAATAGGTACCAGAATATCAAATCATGTGTTTCCTGTAATGGTAATTTTACAGGTTTCTTTTCATGTAAATCTGGAGTAAGACAAGGAGAAAACCTGTCGCCTGTCTTGTTTGCAATATTTTTAAATGATCTCGAAGCATCTCTTGTACAGTGTTTATGTAACGGTGTCCAATTAAAACCAGATGAATTCTATGATCGAATCGAAAATATCGTCACACTATTTGTATTACTGTACGCAGATGATGCAGTGTTATTGGCCACAAAAGCTTATGATCTAAAACATATGTTAGACTCATTTCATAATTATTGTATACACTGGAGGCTTAAAGTTAATACTACCAAAATTAAAATATTAATATTTGGTAGATCAAACACTGATTATAAACATAAGTTCAAAATTGGTCATGATGTTTTGGATAAAGGTGATTCCTATAACAACCTGGGTGTTATCTTTCAAAAAAAAAATCAAAATTCACTTTAACAAAGAAAAAGCTAATAGAACAAGCAACGAAAGCTATGTTCTATGTTTTATGCCAAGGACGGAAGTTAAATTTGTCACTTAAATGTCAACTGTGACTTTTTGACAGTATGGTTGTACCAGTTCTTCTCTACGGATGCGAAGTATGGGGATTTGAAAACATCTCAGCTCTAGAAAAGTTTACACGTGCGTTTCATAAAATATCTGTTACCATTAAGAAAATGTACTCCAAATTTCATGGTACATGGGGAACTTGGAAGACTCCGTCTATCAAACATCGTCAAAATGAGAATGATAAGTTTTTGGACAAAATTGCTTTCCGGGAAATCAACTAAATTATCCTTTCTTGTATACAAGTTGTTATTTAATGACTACCTATTTGCAAAATGTAAACATAAATGGATTACATATATCAAACGAACTTTTGATGAACTTGGACGAAGGTACACTTGGTTTTCACAAAGTTTCAAAAATCCCACATACCTAAAACATCTAGTCCATGAAAAACTAAATGACATTAACCTACAGTGTTGGACCAGTGCAAGGGATAGGTCTTCAAAAGGCACAATGTATGGTATCATAAAAAAATGATTGCCTAAATTTTGAATATTATTTAAACGTACTGCAGGAAAACGCTTGGCGAGTCTTACTTAAGTTTAGAACTTGTGGTCCTAATCTACCTATTGAAACTGGGAGATGGAGAAAATACCTTTAACCGAAAGGAGATGTCAACTTTGCAAATTATCTGACATAGGTGATGAATTCCATTATTTGTTTATTTGTCCATCTTTAGAAAACGAAAGAAAACAATTTACCGATTCTACTACATTAAACCCAATATGCATAAAATTAATTTACTTTTCAATAATTCACGACTAGGAACATTGAGAAAACTGTCAAAATTCTGTAAAATCATCATGTCATTGTTTAAACCTGTCAAGTAACTCTCCCTCTTTCTGAATTGCACATATATTGCTACCATAGTAAATCTGTATAAATATGCATGCATGCTCGGCCAAGATGGTTTTGTATATATTATATATTTATATGTATATGTGATATAAACATATTTATTTCCATAAAGTGGAGGGATTGGCAAACAAGCAAATCTTGCTTATCTGAATGCCTCTCCCAAACATGATACATATACAAATAGCAATGTATTGAAAGTGACATGAGAAATAGCCTACATTGTATAATTGGCATTACAGATAAGTACTGTTCTGTAAGTGTTTAATTCCTGGATTATCTTCCATAACTACAGTGACATTATTATTTACATTCAGCACAACAACATCGCAGTATCATATAGCAAAGCCATCATCTCAGACAAAATCTCTAAATCGGCAAGAAGATAGAATAAAATACTGTATGTATATGTATTATGTTGTTGAAATAATGTTGTACCTCTGATGCCGCTGATAGCAGCCTGAGTGTAAATAAAGTTCAGTTCAATTCAGATATGCGTACCCATTTTAAAGATTCACTCTTTCTAATTCGACATCAAACGGATTATATCACACTCTAAACACGGTCATTTAACCCTCAATTAGTTAATTAGTCCAGGTAACCTGCAGTGCTAATGCTGCATTGGCGACGGCTTTCTCAAAGTCTATCTGAAAAATCTGGGGCTGGAGGTTGAGATGCAGTGTCTCAGTTTCTGTCTTCAGTAAACGGAAAGCTGTTGTGTAGGTTTCTTGTGACTTGTTGGGCAGTTGGAAAGTTCCGTCAGCATACACGATGTCCGCATTGCACAAATGTTCTAAATTCTCTCTTGTGGCAAAGATAAGAATCTTGTCATCTTCTCCATGGTCAGCAATCAGAAACTGTTCTCCTGCGTCAGTTCTTGTCCAGCCTTCTTCCAAGTGAACTGTTGATCTGGTCTTTGGAAGTCTGGGTATGTTCTTCTGTCTTTCTCTGTACATAGGTGACCTCATGCTGTCAAAAGTTGGAAATTGGCAGAGATATTCCCCAGGAACTTCATCAGCATGTCGTCTGAGGTTGGCCAGTTCATCAGCATAAATACCTGGGATAGGCGTAGTCTCAGTTCTGGCACGATCAAGAAGCTTGCTTCTAAAGGCATCAACATGATGGAAATAGGAGCTGATTGGCGATTGTGGTCTGGGCCGATCTTTACTAGTCTGTCCACAACTGTCATAATGTTTCCCTTGCAAGTAGCCCCAGTACCCATCCAGTAGACTGCATCATTCTTCTTCCTGTTCACTCTAAACTTGTAACCTCCATGATAAGCATATCTACCTCCCCGAGGATGAGGTAGAAAGGAGACTGCCACTAGACATTTGCCGTTTTGATTATGGACAACAGGTTGTTGATGTTGTTGCATTTAAGTGTTTAAGAGGTCGCCTTCTGCCTAAGCAATTTCGGCTGACCTGTCCCTCTTTGGGACTCCTGTGTGTGAGTAGGGTACACATATCTACTGTGAGTTTGGTATTCACATAATTTCTGTTTTTGTATTGATATGATTTCTATTTTCTTATATTGATATGATTTCATTTTTATCCTTGGCTGCTCTGTTTATATACGTTCGAGTAGCTGTCCATCTCTCAGAATTAGAGTGTTTGGCCTTCGCTATTGTATCTCTTGGCTTTAGGAGATCTATGACAGATAGTGGATCTAACTGCAATTCTTGTTTTAACCTAGCCCGGGCTGGGGCATGGTCTTGACATTCTAGTAACACGTGAGCAATGGTTTCAGCCTGACTGCAAGATGAACAAACCTTGTCATAGTGCTTTTTGTGACTGAGTCTGAGGCGTGAGATAGCAATTTAAAAAAAGTTTGGCTTTTGTTGGACCTTGGGTTGAATTTTGAATAGCCATCTGCCGATCTTACTTGCGTCCCATTGGGCTTGTCATCTTCCTGCTATGGAGGGTTTGATTTTGCTTTTTATCACTAGTCTACTAATGGGAATAGGCTGTGTATCCGCTTTGTCTAGAACTAGCTTCGCTAGTGAGTCTGCTTTTTCATTTCCATGAATATCTATGTGAGAGGGGATCCAACACATCTCCACCTGTTGCCCTTGGTCCGATAGTTTTGTATATTCGTATAGAATAGTGTTGACTGTGTTTGGCCTGGAGTTGAAGTTTCTGCCACTGATGGCTTGAAGTGCACTTAGCGAGTCTCAGTAGGACGACTGCCTTTGCTTCCGGAAGTTCCGGTATGAGTTTGAGTGTAAGATGAATTGCCTCCAATTCAGCCGTGAATACTGACTAACCATCAGGCAGGCGAACCGAATGTGCTTGGCGTTTGGAGCTGTGGATATGGATCCCGTAACCATCACTGTTGTTGGTAGGATTCTTGGGTCCATCAGTGTATATATGGGCCCAGCTGTCCCAGGTAGTTTCAAAACAGGCCTACTTGGCCGCATTTAAAAATGAAAGTACAACAAACAAGCTGCCTCACCTTTTCGGACATACCCTTTTCGACCAAACACCAAATGGCCTGGCGGGCCCGTGTGCGAAATATGCATATGTCGGAAAGCGCACGTTAAATTCCTAATTTAAGTAAGTAAGTAAGAGACAGGTGCATCAAATCTTTACTAGAGA